ACCATCAGCACTGCTGTAAAATTTTAAGACGGATAAACACTGCTGAGTTGTTGGGTTTATTAACCAAATGACTCAGAATGTCACCGCTAGTCCATTCAGCTGTCAAAAGTTGGGAAACACAATATATTGTTGGGAATGTGTGAGTGTGTATGTGATCATATATTTTTAAGATGGAATAACCCCCTAAGTGTTCCCTGCATAGCGTGTGAATGGACACGCTAGCACAGGCGAGCCTCGGTGAGGTGGAAAGGGGTTAGCTAGGGACAGCTGGCTTTTGAGGGTCAGGACAGAGACTGGCAGAGACAACTGCATGGCAGGTGCAGCAGGGAAGGGGTGGGCACATAAGACTGACGGTGAAATAAGCTAGTTGTGTTCAGAGACAACAAGCAGGCTGACTTGGCTGTGAGAAACGGTATGCTCAGTGGAATGGCTTCAGAGCCAGAACTGAGTTGGAACCTGCTCTTCCTCCAGCACTGACCAGCTGTGTAATTTTGGGCGAGTCATATAGGCTTCCTGAGGCTCAGTTTTCTTATCTATAAAGTAAAGACAAAATCCATTTCCTGGGACTGTGGAGAGTATGAAATTCACAGTAGATGCTTAATAACTATCCCTCCCTCTTCTTCTTGGTTGGTAAAGAGGAGTGGGTTAGGGTAGAAAAGCACGTGCGAGGCACGCATCTGGGAGTCTTCCCCACATTATCTTCTTACTCTACAAAAACTCTCTAGGAGAGGCTTTACTCACCTCATTTCAGAGAGGAGGTGAAAGAGATTCGGGAAGGTCATGTAACTTGCTCAAGGTCACAGAGGAGGAAGAACTGAAACGAGGACCATGAATGTTGCACTACACGTGGCAACTTCCTAGGCAACTGAAAAGGTATCAGTGGAAGGAAGCCTCACAAGACAGGCTGAGAGTTGGCAACTAGCAGCTGGTGCCTAGATCAGGGTACTCATTTGCTTGGTATGTTTTATGGAATTCTTCCAGGTAAAGCTCATGCTTTGCCATTTTGAACCAGACCCACTCTCCACTTCTGGTTACTCTCCTGAGAAACGAATGAAGCTCAAGAACTTCTTGTCCCATTTTCCTCACCTAGAAGATGGAGAGTTTGGACTACATGATCTCTGAAGTCATCCCTCGCTCTAAAATGCATGTGGGTAGAATCTACAGTGTTTGGGACAGGAACACCACACCACCATCCTCAGAGCCAGCTCCCAACTGTAAAGCCTCTTATAGTACAAATCCTCTCACCCAATGAGTTGTTTAATCAGAGAATTCTAGAATAGTATATCAATGCTCTTAAATTCTTTATTTTAATTCAAAATACATAAATATACATTCATTCAATCGTATTGATATGTGGCTTTCTTTAATCAACTATGCAGACAATTAACTATCTTCAAAATACATTATGTCCATTTCCAGTGTGAAGTTCCTTAAAATGGGAAAAAAAAAAACTTAAAGTGGTTGCAAATAAATCCAAATGCAGAATCTCTGGATTTTTGTGTTTTTCCCCAATCTTTTATAATTGTTTCTCTCACGCTTAATATGACAGCAAATTTTTAGTGACTCACCTCTATGGAGTCTTTTAAAGTATTCAATATAGTTTCCCTAGAAACAAGAATGCTATTTCTTTTCACATTTACATTTCAGCAGTTTAATTAAACAGTAAGTCAGATTTTGTCATTCTGCTCTAGCTCCTCTGATGGCTCACCCACCTTATTGAAATGACAGGCCCCACATGCTCTGGCCCTGCCCACCTCTCTGACTTCATCTCCTGCCATCCTCCCCCTTGGTCATGCACTCCAGTCACTCTGATCTCCACACACTTCTTCAAATGGCCAAGTAAGCTTCCACTTCAGGCTTCACACTTGCTGTTCCCCCTTCTCTGGAGTTCTCTTCTGCTGGATAGCTAGGGAGCTCACTCTTATAATCAGGTGTTTGCTCAAATGTCACCTTCTTAATGAGGCCTTCCCTACCACCCTATTTCAAGTAGCCATCCCTTCCCCCATTCAGCCTTTTCTACCCTATATTGTTTTTCTCCACAACACTTATCTGGCATACTATATATTTTACTCATTAGAATTGGAGCTTCATGAGGGCCAGGGTTTTGTTTGTTTGTTCACTGATGCATTCCTAATGCCTAGAATAGCAGGTCCAGTTGTCCCTCAATAATAATAATCTTCAATACACTAACTGAAATGAAGAATAATTTACAGAGAATCAACAATAGAGTAGATAAAGCTGAGAATCAAATCAGCAATTTAGAATATAAGGAAGCAAATAACACTCAATCAGAACAGAAAAAAAAATCTAAAAATATGAGGACAGTGTAAGAAGTCTCTGCAATAACTTAAAGTGTACCAACATTTGCATCATGGGGGTCGCAGAAGAATAAGAGAGAGAACAAGAAATTGAAAGCCTATTTGAAAAAATGATAAAAAAGTTCCCTAACTTGGTAAAGGAAACAGACATACAAGTCCAGGAAGTGCAGATAGTCCCAAACAAGATTAAACCCAAAGAGGCCCACACCAAGACACATCATAATTAAAATGCAAAAGGTTAAAGACAAAGAGAGAATCTTAAAAGCAGAAAGAGAAAAGCAGGCAGTTAGTAGTTACCTACAAGGAACTCCCATAAGACTGTCAGCAGATTTCTCAACAGAAACTCTGCAGGCCAGAAGGGACTGGCAACAAATATTCAAAGTGATGAAAAGCAAGGACCTACAACCAAGATTATTCCACACAGCAAAGCTATCATTTAGAATTAATTGAAGGCCAGATTAAGAGCTTCCCACAAGAAAAAGCTAATGAATTCATCACCACCAAACCAGTATTACTTGAAATGTTAAAGGGTATTCTTTAAGAAGAAAAAAAAAAGATTAAAAATACAAACAATAAAGTGGCAATAAATACATATCTATCAGCAATCGAATCTAAAAAACAAAATAAATGAACAAGCAGAACAGAAACAGACCCATAGAACACTTGGTTGTCAGATGGGAGGGGCGTTAGGGGAATGAGTGATAAAGGTGAAGGGATTTAGAAGTACAAATGGGTTGTTACAGAATAGTCATGGGGACGTAAAGTACAGCATAGGGAATATAGTCAATAATATTCTAATAACTATATATGGTGTCAGATGGGTGTGAGATTTATTGGATGATCACTTCCTAAGTTACATAATGTCTGTCATTGGAGTGTATACCTGAAACTAATATAATATTGTATGTCAACTATAACTGGAAAATAAAAAATGATAAATAATAATAATCTTTGTTACTGCACTAAGTGTATTGCCTTTCTGATTGAATTGTATAACTACAATTGCAATGATTTCAGGCTTGAGGAAGTTTAGGAACAAAAGTAGCAGACTCTTGGTAAACCAAGGAGCCAACTAGAGGGGTCAGGATTGTGCTCGTGCACTAGAGCACAGCCAACTAGCCCTGGGCAGCCATGAACCTTGGGATCAGCCAGGGCATGGAAAGGAGGGGAGCAAGATCATCTGTTAAATACAAATGGACTACACAGCCTCTCCTTTAACTTAATCAAATTGATGTCTCCAACTACTTGATGCTTTCATATTGAAATGTATAGTAACACACAGCAATGTCAAATATACAAGAGAGCCTAGCCACTTTTCTTCAGATAAAGGCAGACAACAGAAGAAAGATGGGTTGTTTTTAAGTCAATTACCTTTAGCAAATTTCTTAATCTTTCTCTCATCCTTGGTTGTTCATTAAAAAGGGGGAAGGTGTAAACTAATATGTGGCCTGCTTATGTCATCGGTTTATTGTAAGTATCAGATGGATCAACAGCTATGAAAATATACTGAAAAATTATGAAACACTCTATACAATAAGCAACACTCTTTGCATTAACATGGATAACCCACTTGTCTATAATAGCTACTATAGCTCCCCAAAACTGATGATGTACTTTATAGCACATTGATTTTAAAATGAGTCCTAAAATGTGTTAAAGAATAAACAGCAGGAAAAGTAGGTTTTTAAGGGCATGAAATGAGAAAGACAGGGAAAATGGCTTTCTCCTGATTCTTTAATAGAAAAATATAAAGAAGAAAAAATATCCCTCAAATCTCCAGTTACTGTATTACATAAAGTTCAGATTCAAGAATATTACTGTAAACACCTACAATTATCCAGACTCGGATATTTCAGATATTTCTCATCTATTTCAACACCACAAGGATAATCCAAGATGACTTATTAATATCAGACATGTCAACAGCGAGTTGTGATGGAAAGGAGCAAACCCATTCCAACCATTTCAGTTCTGTTTTTATTACAGCATTTATTAAACCAGGATAAAAAAGTGGTGAAGAATGACTTGTCACACCATTTATTAGAGTTGATGGAGCATAGACAGTTTTTTCAATAAGGCTTTAACACACTGTTATGCACCATAGTACATTATTAATGAAAAGAAATGCATAAGACTTGCCTCAGCTTTTCCCCCCAAGTCATCCTGCCTTTAAATTCAAAATCAATTCTACTCCACTCATGGCAAAGTTTCAGCAATAAAATGTTAATTTGTTTGTTGTTTACTGGATCTTAAATTTCTAATTCAAAGCAACAGTCAAGAATCTTCCACATTGCACTCAATTTAATAATCATACCTTTTTTGGAGGGGCTTCAAAAGGAGAGGCAAATGCAACAGGAAGATAAACAAGTTGTGCCCTAGTGCATGTCTGATAAGAGAATGGGACCTAATTTTCTCTCCGATTGAAAAAACACAAAGGAATGCAAATTGGGCGGTGGGTGTTTGTACTTCTCTCCTAATACCTGAGTATCCGAATGGAACTAATTCACTCTGAAAAGGTATTAAGTAATTGAGTATGATTGTCCCAGGATAAGGGATAATCCTCAAACTGTGAAGGAAAATAAACATAGTTTAGAACAACAGGGTCACCTCACTCACTCAGTAACCTCAGTCAAGCATTTTACATCCAAAAGAAATACACCAAAAATATTAAGAATGACCTACCGCCAACAAGGAACCCTGATAGACACAAGCACCTGTGGAGAAAAACAAAACAAGAATTAAAAGGGATGCATAGCAAGCCAACTGGCACCGCCCCGGCAGACTTACGGGAATACTGCATCTATATGTATCATAATCAGCAAACTGCCCTTTCTAAAATCTTTAAAACTTCAGCATTCTGGCCCTCGGGAAATAACCTCATACGCCAAAATAAGATTTCTTGGATACACATGAGGAAAAGCATCATTAAAACTTAGTATTTGAGTTTTAAAATAAATGCATTTAAAAGGCATGCTATAAATATAGTGTCTATTTTCACTTGTGATAAATCAGCAAAGCCTCCACAATCCAGTCCCAGTTGATTTATCCAGGCTTCTCGGCCACTCTTTGCTTATACAAGTTCTCTCCAGTCCCACCCAAGAGGCCAACTTAGGATCCTGTGATAATGCTTTCATATCTCAGTGCCTTTGTTCATCAGCGTTACCGGCGGGGGATACATTTGGTCTATCTGAGTTCACTGAACGTGACCCCATCTCCTTCAGCTTTCCAGTCCATAGGATTATGCCCTTTCTCCCTTGAGCCCATAGCGCTTTGTGTCTACAGCACCGGTTTGTGAATTCATGCCTGCGTACCTTCTTCTGACAGCCGTGCTGAGGATGTGGAACTGTTGCGTCTACCCCCTGCCTGTACATAGACTCTTAGGACAGGGGCTCCTTCTACTGTTTTCCCTAACTTTTCACATAGTAGGCATCCACTTAGGTATCTGGCTGATTACCCACTTCATGCCTTTAACACAATATGTTCCTCTTTAGGGATATTAAAACATTTTCTAGAAGAGTAGTGTAGACTATAGTTATTTGAAAAGAGCTCTTCTATTGAGCTCCTGACTTCCAAGGCTCTTTTCACCCTCTCTGCACTCAACTTTTTTTCTAATGGGCTGGTTATAAACTAATATATCTTTATAGTTTCTGCTCATTACGCAGCAAAAAAAACAAACAACAGATGATTTGCTTCTAAACAGAAAAGTAGGCTGAATTTAAATGGGACAGCCTATATATTTTGAATAATTAGTGTATCATAAAATAAATCTTTTCTAAGTTTTATATTTGAAAATTGTGAAATTACAATGCTAATTTACAAAAACATACACACACATTCCCAACCAATTTTTAAACAGCACAACAGGTAGTGACTTAACCTAGAAACATGCAGGGAGTGTGCTAACAGCTACTCTCTCAGAAACTGAGGCTCAAACAGATTGGAATAGCAAAGGCACATCTTGACAACCTGCCACACTTGGGTGTCCAAAAAGGGAAGGACACATTTTACTGCAGTGCTTGGCCTCTAACGGATCATTCATGAAGTCTCAAAAATATTAACTTCTCAGGAAAGGATTGGTCTCCCTTAATCTCCAATAATGGAATTAAGAGCAATCTTCAACAAAAATGAGATGACTGTTTACACTTGGCGTTTGAGTCGAAGATCTCTGTGGGTAAATTTATTGAAATAAAACTTCTGTGCCCTTGACATTCAAATAAGAATCACTTGAGATAAAAACCTTGGGATCAATTGACTTATTTTTCTTTAAGAAATTCTGTTCCCAAGACTTAGTATTTCAGTCTATGGTATGGCATAAAAAAGGATATATATTCAGATATTATATATGCATATGCGGGGTGGGGCAAAAGTAAGTTTACAGTTGTTCATATGGAAAATAATACAATAATTAATAGATAATAATATAAGAATAAACTCTGTGTTTTGCACACTCACAACTATAAACCTACTTTTGTCCCACCCTGTATATAAAATAATCATATATAGCTCAAATAAATATTCAATTTCTAAATTAAATGGACATATTTAATCCTCATGTTTAAAACATAAAGATCAACACTTAGGTATAATTTAACAAAATTTAACCTTTAGTATAAACAACAAAATGTAACCATTAGAATAAGACCATCCTCAAATAATTTCATTGCCCTCCTCCATAGCATTTCCTTATAAAAGCCAATATCTTTTCAAAGCTCCAAAAGAAATCAAGTATCTTAAGAGTACCCACGTTTTAAAACCCACTTCTGGAGGTTTTAGATGGATATTATAATCTCACTGTAACATAAAAAAAATAAAGCAGCACTGAGTGTGTGGCACCATATACACACTTGGTTAAGCCAAACATCTGCTAGGGACTCAAGTCAAAAATGATATGTAACTGCTGATAAATTCCATCATTAGAAAAAGGAAATAACTCAATTTAGGTCACTCCATGATGTACAATTCCAAAAGAAGTAAGCTTTGCCCTCTGAGGGTTTTCCTAAAACAGAACAGCTCTACCCGGAAGGCAGCTACACAAATGAGTCTCCATTAACACAGCTTCCAAAAATCTCATTTCTACTCTCTAGAGAAAATAAAGCATTCCAGTGATACCCAGGCCTAGCAAACATTTATCACCACCCATGGCCAGCAGTCCTCCAAGCAGCATATTTCCCCCACACTAGCTCACACACTTCACCCCCAGCAGCGGACGAAGCAGGGGGGCCTGCTGGCATCGGCTGCTGGGGCAGCTTCGGGTTCTGACCTAGAGCAGGGGCCTTTTCCATCATGGATCAACTCACATAATATGGAAAACAAAAGTACTCCACTCATCACTTTTTCTCTTAAGGAGCACTGGAATGATTGCGGCTCTGTCTGAGGTTTAAATTTACGACTTTATTTGAACTTTAAAAGAAACTCCTCAAGGTGAATTCTGACAGATGGTGCACATCTAAAAGGAGAAACATATCTTCTTCAAGGGAAAACAGGGAAAGTCAGACTACAGAGCTGGAGTTCTCTGACCAAGAACTCTGCCAGTTTCGGGACACTGAGTACAGCTGAGAAGCTAGCTAACTTAATTTCTAAGCCCTGTGAGGAAGTGCAGGAGTGTTGCAGGGCGACGCGGTCATCTGCGCCAAGGAAGCTGAGCTGCCAAGACCTTCCTCCCAGGCGGCTGGCTCCCTTCTTGCAGCTTACAGAGGTGAAATGTTGCTTCAGATTCATTTAAATAAGTAAATGTCTGTTTAAGCCCTTTTGCACAGTATAATGTACTCCTATTTGAAATCTAAAGTTTTCAGAGAAAATGTGAGATATAATTTGCACCAGTATTTATAGTCTATTCACTCTAGAAACTGTATCTGGTAAACTAAGTAAATTAGAGAAGTCAAATCCAAGGGCCACAAAATGTCAGACCCATTAGTTCAAAGGAATTGTGACAGATATGACCGTAAGATATGAAGAGATCTGGAGAGCGTGGCATCACACAAACATGACTCATTAGGAACAAGCAGCCACCAGCTGCCATTTAAATGTTCGGGCTTTATGTTGTGCTGTAACTCAGGATACGGCTTGTACACTGTGGAACAGTAAAAACAATCATTTTCTGGACTGACAGGACCGCTCACATCCTGATTATTGTTGGTCAGGATTCAGATCAATTAATAAAGTAGCTAAAATGAAAATGGGCCAACTGTTTCTGAGCCATTCTAAGATTTGGTGCATGGCTCCAACTTTGCCATGTGGAAGTCCCCTCCCCTCTCCTGAGCCACGTGGTGGAGAGCTCTATGACTACTTGTGCCTGAGTAAAACTGAGTGATACTCCCACTCGAGTCCATAACAGTGAATACAGGTGGCTGTGCCCTTACTAAATAATGTATATGCAGTGGGCAACACCCAAAATCCAATCCCCAGAGAAGAAATATAACATAATGGAATTAAGACCCTATGACCACACACCACCTCCTTATTTCCACTAGCAGGTAGCTACCAAAGCCAAAAGATGCAAAGATGCAATTATTCAATACTGGAAAACCCACCAAGGACCAATGTTCACATAACCCTACTGCTACTTTATGGTATTAACAATTTCTGAATATTTAAACTCCTAAGGGCAGATATTATTATTTTGTCTNATTAACAATTTCTGAATATTTAAACTCCTAAGGGCAGATATTATTATTTTATGTCCGTATCACCCTAACAGAAATAACCTGGCACATAAGCTCTCAATAAAGATTTGTGAAAGAATGAAGAGATAGACTATTTTTCCTAGCCAATGTCTTCTCTTCCTTAATACTGAGTTTTAAGCATTGAGTCTTACACAAAAGGAACTCTCCGGCTAAGAGGAACCAAATATGCTAATACACCCTTAAGTAAAACACACTATCAACTGATCCTTTTCAGTGCATTTGGTTAATGACATGTAAAGGAAAAGCCTGGAAGATTGTGGGATTAGCAGAAGTCATGTGGGGAATGATGGGACACAGGCTAGAACTCAGTTCTCTTAACCTCCAATTAAACAGTCTTTTCCTATCCCCAAGCCCACATGTTCTATCTAGTGTAAGTTCACAGGACTTCCCTGTCAACATAACTCAAGATGCGCTTCTCCAGAAAATGCCATGGCAGAACTTGTCTGACTCAGAAAGCAGCCATGTTTGCTAGAAGTTTCTCTATAACATCTTAATTTTATAAAGCTCTCAAATCATAGTAGTTTGTCAGTGTGGCAATATAAGACAATGTAAATTATCATTGCCAATAATTCATTTTTCTTTTAATNTAGTAGTTTGTCAGTGTGGCAATATAAGACAATGTAAATTATCATTGCCAATAATTCACTTTTCTTTTAATAATTAAAATAAAATTCAGAATGAGAAAGTTGCAACTGACCACAAAATAAGACAGCAAATATTGATTTCCCCCACCCCTCTATGCTGGATGATTAGCAGAAGTACTTTAGAACTATCACTTCTTCAACTTCTGCATTTGGTAAATGACTGAACCACAACCCAAAGAAGTTAGGTGATTCATTCAAGGTCATAGAGCATCTTACCGTCCAAGCCAGTCCATCTTAATTCACAAGAATGTGATCTGGCAGTAGTCGTTCATCTGACCAACATTTTTTAGTACCTATTGTATAGTAGGAGCTGAGTTGGATATATAAAAATAACTAGGACCCATCCTAAGCTCTCAGTGTGTGCACAGCTAAGTGAGGAAGGCAGAA